TTCGTATATTTGTTCTTTACGTTTCTTAGTATATACGTTGTATATATAGTATGTGTATGTGTATATCTTTCAGATGTAATATTCGATTTGTAAGATGGCTGTTGCAAGCAATACATTCCATTTGCTGGAATTTGAAGATGGGATGCAAGTAGTACCTGATAATTGGGTACAAAAAGATAAAAACGAATGTTGGTATCCAAATTATAAAACCGATAAAGAAATCACTAAAGCGATAAAAAAACGACATATACCTCAAGATGGTTGGTTATCGTATTCAATTAAACGATTATTTGGTATATATGGTAAGTAAACATATTACAAGGGTTTTTAACTTGTTTATATATAAACGATAATTTTCGAACTATTGTAACAAACATATTGTCATGTTAATGTATATAATAATGACTAGATATCTTTTTTTATAGAAACCTACAGTGAAGCATATAATAAACTTAAAAAGGCCGAAATGAATTCCGATATTAATACGGATACCGACGACAAAACTCAAAGAAAAGTTAGAGCTAGAAAACAAATTACTGATGATGATGAAAGTGATGATGGTAGCAATTATCAGTCTTGCTTACCACCATATCCGAAAGCGCCTGATATGGGTCGTACAAGTAAGTAATTTTAAAGTTGTTAATTATGCATGTATTTGAAATATACATATATGCTCAGGTCATTAAAAATTCATTGGAAAAGTAGTACAAAAATATTTTGTAATGTAATGCGCGCACGCGCGTGTGTGTGTATACGTAAACCCTTATGAAAAATACACTCAATCATACGTTGACGGTCCGAAATAACCATCAAATTGAGTGTAAACCTTCATAATCGAGTGTTTCATGAAGGTTTACGCTATATTTGATGGTTATTTCGGACCGTCAACGTATGATTGAGTGTATTTTTTCATAAGGGAATAGTTATATATGTAAAATAGAGATTCTGATAAATCGTAAATATAATATCATTATATTAATATTGTATCTTATATGTTATATAATCTTTTGTATTCTAACATCTTATAAATATATGTA